GCGACTCGTGAAGGAGGCACTAAGTTGGAGATTGAGCCTGCTTGGGAGCAAAGATAAGATTAGGCCGAGCTTCTTGGCGACTAGCGAAAGAGTGCGAAACTGGATACATAGACTGCTTGGGAGCAGAGATAGATTCAGGTCGAACTTCTTGACGACTCGCGAGAGAGTGCGAAGCTGGATACATAGGCTACTTAGGAGCAGAGGTAGGATTAGGTCAAGCTTCTTGGCAACTCGTGAGAGAGTGCGAAGCTAAATACATAGACTGTTTGAGAGCAGAAATAGGATTAGGCTGAGCTTTTTGATGACTTGCGAAAGAGTGCGAAGCTGGAGATTGATAAGGTGACCGTCTGTACAAGAGCATAGTCAGAGCTGCGAGCGCCCCATGAGAGGGCCACCAGAGTTGAGGCCGAGCTATGTATAGCTCGGGAGAGGGTTGTCGTGGCAGAGGCTCATTCCATTAAGATAGAGATAAGAAGGGAGGCAACTAAGAGGACCAATGCAAACGCCTTTACTGATGGTTATGAAGGGGTTGACAGCTTTCCCTGCTATTGATTTCTTTGGTTTTGTCCCCTATGAGGCACTAGCAGTAGTTGGTGATGCGGAGAGTCTTGATGATAATGGTTGTGGCTCGGGGAGCAGTGACTGGTCATCGGAAGTATGAGGATTGTTGTCCTGATCATCGGGAGTAGGACGATTATTGACTTTTTGTCTAACTTGTTGTTAGGTCATGTTCTGACTTTTGTAAGCTGTTTACAAACTTTATGAAATGAAAGCAAGACAGTCATAGACACAATAATCTTCGCAAAATTTTATTTCATAAAATAATAAATAACAAAATAAATCAATTGAAGCAATAAAGGATAGATAAAATCTTCAGATTTTCGGTGTCCCATTGGTGGGCCAAGGCTCTCCCATTTTCAGTGTGCTGTCATACCAAGCACTTCCACCTAGAGGGCCTTTTTGGGTTTCTTGATTCCCAAAGAGGCCACGTAGCATTCTTTGGTAGCAACTTGGTTTCCTCTGACTTCTCTGATCCCACACAGGGTTGGGAAATGAAGAACAATGTGATAGGCAGACGTCACTGCCCTTAGGGTGTTGAGTGCGGGGAGTCCAAGTATGATATTGTAGGTAGAGGGACAATCCAATACACTGAAGTTTACCATAATGGTGGTAGAGCTTCTTAGTGCTATCCCTACGATGACTGGCAGGGGTGATGGAGCTCAAGGGATAAACCCTCTCCCCTGAGAATCCACCAATGGGTGTCCTGATGGGTTGCAATCTCTCCTTGCCGAGGTAGAAGCTGTCATAGGCTAGTGCGAACAAGATATCGGTTGAACTGTCGTTTTCGACCAAAATTCTCTTAACCTGGTAGTTGGCTACCATCATGGTTAAGACGAGGGGATCATCTTGAGGGAGCTGGATTCCCTCAAGATCCCTATCTGAGAACGTGATTATCTCATCTTTCCCTTGTCGGGTGTCTTTGTCGGGCGAGATTCATGCACCTTTGCCTGTCTGGCTTTCTTGGCAAAGTTAGAGTCGCCTCCTCCTCCTACCCTCCAGAGATTGTCTGGATTTTTATGAGCTCTTCGATCTGCCTATTAAGCCCATAACAGTCATCAATATCGTGACCATGATCGCGATGAAAATGACAATACTTGCTTGAGTTTTTACGATTCGGGTGGACTTCATTTTTTTGGGCCAATGGAGCGTGGGGTCATCTTGTATCTTGAACAGGATGTGCTCCACCGAGGCGTTGAGTGGCGTGAAGGGTTGCCATTTTCTTTGGGGCACTGGACCAAGACAGTCTTTGACAAAGACTCTCTCGGTTCGTTGTCTCTTGCTCTCTGTCTCCCCCTTGTCTTCGCGGGTGTCCTTCATTTTCTCTCTTCCTCAAGAAGACTCACCTTGACGGACTTTGGTGACATCCTTGGCATTTATGTACTTTTGTGCCCCTAACAGCAACTTGGGCATGCTGTAGGGTGGCTTCTTGATAACGAAGAACATGCAGCTAAAGGAGCACATACCAGCAATAAATGCGGTCAAAGTTACCTTATCGTCTGGCTCCACGATCTGGAGAGCTTCCTCGTTGAAACGAGTGAGGTAGCTTCTAAGGCTTTCATCCCAGTCCTGCTTGATGGTGATCAGGTGGGTAACAGACTTCTGATGTCGGCGTTCTCCAATGAAGTGGGAGACGAAAAATTTACTCAGCTCCGCAAAGGAGTGGATGGAAGAGGGTTTGATCTTCGTGAACCATTGTCGAGCAGACCCTTCAAGGTGGTGGAGAAGGCTCTACACATGATCTCATCAAGCACGTTGTGGAGTTGCATAAAAGACTTAGAGGTGTCAAGATGATCCAGGGGATCCTTGGTACCGTCGAAGATCTCGATGGCAGACATCTTAAACTTCGAGGGTATGAGGTACTTGACGATGTCTGTAACAAACAAGGTATCAGTGCGCCTTACCAGGTAATTCGCCGTTTTGGAGGCTTGTGCCTTGATGGCGTTGAAGGTGTCACCGAGTTAGTTTTGCACCTCTCTAATTTTCTCGTCCCATTGGTTGGAGACAACCTCTATTGGGTTGTTGTAATGGCTTCCATGATCGGCATACTAGCTTTCTCCTTCGTCCTCCTGCACAGATACATGAGGAGGGGGAATATGTGAGTTTCCTTCACACTGAGGAGGGACTACTGGGTGAGGGGCCCCATGGTGGGGCTTGCTTGGCGCTCAGAGTGGATAGGTTATTGTGCTTCTCCCGTTGGAAGGAGTGGTATTCCTCCTACGAGCTGAGGGGCAACGCCTCCCTTGGCGAACATCAACTAAATGATTTACTGGTTCTGCTTTTCCAGCAGCTGCATAGTCTGTAGCAACTATTGTTCGACGATGGGAGTCATTGTAGCAGATGGTTCTGAGGGTGCGAGGGGAGACGGAGCTCCCTCATGGGGGCCCGGGTTGTTGTCTCCCGGTTGTTAACTTATCGACCTGGTCGTGATTACCATGAAGTAGTAAGGTAGTAAAAAACTTAGTCGATTCTTACAAATGGTGCCAAACTATTACTGCACAAAACTGTCTCGTGCAAGATCAACAATCGAGTATGTGATAAATGTATAATTAATGGACAATTAATAAAGTAACCAATGACAAAAAGAATAAATATTAGGTCAACACACATATATATAGTAGTTCGGTCCGGATAACTTATTCCACTCTGAGAAATGGCTACGGTGGCCGGTGAACCTTTATTGATGAAATAAAGTAAGAGAGAGGGAGAGACAAGGCTAGCTCCAGGAGTGGTACAATAACTAGGAGAGAGAAAGTGTGTAGAGAAATGTGGTGAAATCACTGTGTCCTCTCATGTAGAGAGGACTTATAATTTATAGGCACAAAAACTTGGTTAAGACGGTAATGTGAGGGTGAAGGTACTAGGTTTTCGGAGAGGATAGCTACAAAAGGTAAGTGCAATTAAGATAGTTTTGATCCTCGAGGGTGTATATCCTGATGATTTCTCTCCACGTGCTCTAATTCTTCTTGGACTCTTCGGACCTTGGGTTGGGTTGAATTCACGAACTGAGCTCGATCTGTCTTTTAGCTGATTTGGGTTAACTTGATTTATTGGGCCTGACTCAGTTACATTTGGGCTCATCAGAGGACCTACCTAAGGGTTATCTTTGGAAAACTGTGGTCACTTCTAGCTTCAATATAAGGCTTTATTTGTTTTGTTCAAATGGTCAGAGTGTTCGGTCCAACTTTCACGCACCTCAATTATCTTCCCTGGTGATAGGCAAGCCATCTACGATTGGGACTAGAATATTCATGAGCGATAAATCCTTCGTGGTCTGGCCTCAATACGATTGTCAAGATTTAAATTCAGAATGTCTAAGCAAAACATGACACCTACACCTTTATTTGGGCGCAAATAGGGTCATCTGCGTTACAGTCGGCATAAAAAGAATTGATTTCCACACGTTTAATGATTTCAATTTGTTTCCTCCACCTTCTTCCTGGAATGTAGATGCCTTCCAACCCACAAGAATAGAAAATATTTCTGGCTCCAATGATACACTTCAAAAAGATAAATGCCCTTCATTCCAATCCAACCATTTTCCCTCTTAACGAACTTTTGAAAAATAATAAATCTAATGAGACAATAAACTTGAACAATTACTATAATTGTTTATCAAGCAACCCTATGCATATCATGACCAGGTATTACTTGCAGACTAATATGTTGCATGGAAAATACCAACCTTTTTCAGCATATGTTCTTCAATTGAACAGCAGGAGCTACTACCGTTTCAAGCCTCCAAGAGAGTGTTTTTTTTTTTTTTGTGTACACTGTATGGTAGATAAGTGACTGAATAATGTCATTTTAGTGTTGCCGTGTTGCAATTTAGATAGTTGGCTTCTTGGAATCCTCATAAAATGCAAGCTTGGTTTTCGAAGAGATAGCTGTAAGGGTGTCCATTTGTCGGTATACAAAAGCAACACACTCAACCATTTTTACTCTATCTTCTTCTTCAGCAAGTCTTCACCAGTTCAATGTTGTGGCATGAGTGCGATGTTGTTGTGAATCAAAATTTGAAGACAAAATTTCAATTTAAATTTTGAAATCAAAATGAAATTGAAATCAGAACACCACCGTTGGTGCCACTACCAATGACCTCTCTGCATTATAACTGCGCCTCCATCGCCCTTACTCCATTACCACTCTTTAATCTTTCTTCTATTCCTCACCAATAGCCACCAAACATCCCAAAACCCAAATCACCCATCACCAACAACACACTGCCATCACCAACATTGGCCACTACCCAACACTAATTCACATAATATCAAAACAAAAAAATCTAAGACCGATTTGAGTCCAACTCACTTTATTTGAAAAATCAAAATAGAGGTGGTAATGGGTGACGACTGGTTGGAAAAGATGAAAAGGAAGAAAAGAAAAAGTATAGATGGTTGCTGGTGGATATTAACAGTGAACTTAAGGTAAATGAAAGAGATATGAAAAGGCGTTTAGCGATGGTTAGATATAATGAGCTGGTTGTAGAAAAGAAAAGTGGAAGAAGAAAGGTGAGTGTTTAAACTCATTTTGCATCTCATTATTTAAAGCAACGTTTTCAAAAAATAAATGAGTTTGAGAAATAAGTTTGAAAGTGACTAGATTTAGATTAACATTTTGAGGAGAATGAATTTAATGAAAAACTCACGACCTTTCTAACTACAATTTTTTTTTTTTTTGTGGTTTAAAAACTATTTATTCCAAATCAATTATTAAAAATAAATAAAACTCATCAAAAGAAATTATCCCAAATATTAAACATATTTGTAAATAGTAAAACTTTAAATCAGTGCTCGATTCAAAGCATAGAGACCCAAAAGAAGAAAAAATACTATTTAAACCTAATTTTAGAATTTTAAACAACTGTTTAAGTAAAAATTTATTTCACCAAACAACTAATCATAATTATAGAAACTCTCTGAGAACTCTTGCATCATTAAATAGATAAAAATATATTGAAAATCTATTAATAAAAAATAAATAATAATAATATAAATATCTAATTTAGAGACTTAATTAGTGACCTAATTCATTGATTTCAAGTAACAAAAATTGAATCAAACGGTCAATTGAGAAAACTTGGAGGTAAAGAAAGTATAGCTTGGTTTCCAAATTTGGGGCAACGGTAATAAAAAAGAAAATGGAAACAAAATCAGAGATTTAAAACCAATGATCTCGTCAGAGAGACACAACCAACAACATATATATATAAAATCAGAAACTCAGCAGACGACATCGACCTCCTGAGTCCCAATTTACGAACCTCCACCTACGATCTATCTCCGTAAACCCTAAATTCCACCACCAGATGATTTCTCTCTCCTCTCTCCGAAAATATTCAGCATTGTAATGCAATGGAGTCGATGATCGAACTCTGCGATCTGATCGCACAAAATCCTTCGCAATTTGCTGATAAATTGGCTTGGATTTGTGGACGATGTCCACCAATTGACTCTGTACTCGCCACCGCTAGATTTCTTTCTAAATGCCCCAATTTCGACGACATGAGGCCCTAACCGGCAGTCCTAGGGTTTTTTGGGTCGATTCCGTATTCTTTTGCCCAATCTTTTTGGCGACAGTCGTTTGTAAGCGATTCAATTGCTTCGTACGATTTCTTGAGTTACATGAATAAAGCCAGTGAGTTGTCCTCGGATTTTGCCATGGCCGTTGCGGAGTATACGGGAGAGATTGTGATGTCGGCGGTTAACAATGTCAGTGGAGATTTGGGGGTTTCAAGGTTTTCTTGAATGCTCTGTCGCAGAATTTTCCTCCAATTCTTCCTTCCGATGCAAACAAATTAGTGTCCACTGTTCTAGATGGATTTGAAATTTCGGTTCCTAGTTCACCGAGGAGCTAGATTCGACAACTCCTGAAGCGTCATCGTCTTTTTTGGGTCGATTCCGTATTCTATTGCCCAATCTTTTTTGCCACAGTCGTTTGGAAGCGATTCAATCATTTGATTTCCTGAGTTATGTGAATGAAGCCAGTGAGTTGTCCTCGGATTTTGCCATGGCCGTTGCGGAGTATACGGGAGAGATTGTGATGTCGGCGATTAACAATGCCGGTGGAGATTTGGGGGTTTCTCTGTCGCAGAATTTTCATCCAATTCTTCTTTCTAATGCAAGCAAATTAGTGTCCACTCTTCTAGATCGATTTGAAATTTCGGTTCCTAATTCACCGAGGGAGCTAGTTTCGATAGCACCTGAAGCGTCATCGCCTCAGAGTTCGCCACTCAGTGCGAACCATTATCAATCAAATGAGAGAAACAGTCCAGGAAACGAGGTCAGCAATGCCTCTGGTTCTTCTAGCGGTGACCCTTCAAGGGTTACAGATGAGGCGACCAGTGCATTGTGGTCGAAAGGATTGGTGATGAAAGGGGGCAGCCTTGCGTGGAAGAGCAATGTGGATATATTTGGGGCTGATGTTGGGTTCAATGATGAAGGACGAGGCGGTTCCGCAACGTACAAGCGAGTGGTAGCCTCTTTTGAGGAAGAGCCTGTGGAGAGCCTTCAACAACAGGAGATTGCTTTCAAGCTGATTGGGCACATATTGGATAAAGTGCAGATTGATCTTAAGCTTTTGTAACAAATGAGGGCCATCGCAATTCGCAAAGGAGCAACTCCAATCAATGTTGGCTTTCCTAAAGGTAAAATTCATGGGTATCCATCCTTTTGGTTTCGAATTTTATTGATGTCTTGATGAAATAACTATAGAGATGAATGAAAAAATCTGGTTAAAATGTTTGGGTTTGTTGGCAGATATGGAAGCGTGACTGGACGGAACAGGGGCAGTTACTGAAAGTTAGAATCAATACAGAGCTGTCGGTTTACCAAGCTGCAGCGGGGTTACAAATCAAGAGTCTTTCATCTGTTGATTTGAATGGGAAGTCATCAAAGAGGTTGTTGCATGGAACTTTGGCATTGTTGATAGAAGCTGCTGAAGCATGTTTATTCTGTGTCTGGCAAAAGTTGAGAATTTGTGATGAGCTCTTCAGCTCATTGCTTGTTGGGATTTCCTAAATTGCTCTCACTCGATGTGGTCAGCTGCTGCATGTCTTGCTCATTCGCTTCAAACCCCTGGTGATAAGTACTGTGCTCGGGTACATTATTTGTTTGCTTCGGGCTATCTCCTACAGCTGGGGCGTATCTTGGTAACATGATTCTGCAATATGTTGCACTTTTTGGATAAACTTTCATTGTAATATATATATTTTTTCAAACAGGCAGAGACTTGGGGCAGATTTTCTAGGACCTCTACTTCTTGCTGTGGCTGAAATATGTTCAGATTTTGATCCTACTGTATATGTGGAACCTGCACTTTTGAAGCTATTTTGCAATTTGTGGTTCTATGTCACTCTCTTTGGGTTAGCACCTCCAATACAAAAAACTCTATATATGGTAAGTCAGTTCCCATAATCTGAATAGTGTGGGGAGCATGGGTGCAATTGATCTTCAATCTGAAAGTGTTATTGTATGAGTCTCTTTTGTCTACATGTTTGTGCTTTAGTTTTTCTACTAGTCATTATTTAAGGCATAAAACTATTCTGCTGCCAATTACTTCTTTACAGTATTTTATGTCTTACATTTTTTGTGCCATAACTCAATGTGACAATTACTTGAATTTTTTGTCAATTACTTGCTTATAGTATTTTATTTCTTAATTTTTGTGCTATGATTCAATGTGTAATATTGCTTATTGAATGCAGTACCTTAAAGAGGGAGGAAAACCAACCTATTAAAATTTGGGAGGCTCATAAAGCGGCAATCCAAGAGGTTGGTTTTTCTTTGGGCATTGTGTAGTATTTATTTTGCGGTATGATTTTTTTTAGCGTTTTCTTTTCTCTTCTCGTGAAGTTTTTAATTATCATTCTCGATCTTCATCCTTTGCTTAAGATTTCTTGCAGTTATCGAACTACAAAGGCACTGATGTTAAAACTTGAAGATCCTACACCATATTGCTTTGGATACAAATGAACAATGGCGGTTTTGTTTATGGTAATCCAGGTTTAAGTGACACAACTCTGCACATACTTTTGAAGAGCATACAGGTCGGCTCCTTGCATGTTTACATTTTTATTCCCTTTGAATATCTTTGAGTAGATGTTCTATTTTTCATTTTTAAATATTAATAATGTGTTTTCTTAACAATTGTGGTAGTTGTTTGAAAGTTTTCACTGGTAGTAATTATCGTATTTTAGATGATCTTTAAATTTGTAAATTGTGAAAAAAGAACACACTAGTTTTCAGACCCTAATTGACTAGGATGCAAAAATGAACATGTCTTGTTGGCATCTTGCATCAGGACACCTCATAAATTCAAAGTAACGCGTTGTAGCTAAGGCGTTCGACAAAAGTCCAGACGCTATGTCCTAGGCTCTCGTTGTTATGTTTCTGCAGTTCAAAAGATGTCCGCTAAAGTCACTTTGAAAAATCTCCGTAAAGCATATATAAGGGGAGGAGATAGTTGAGGGGCACCAAGGGTCTGGCTAGCCTTGTGCCCCCAGGCCTTGGCACCGTTAGGCAAAATATAAGTGTGTCTATGTTTCTTAGGTGTATTATTAGTATATGAGTGTGTTTCTTTGGTGTATGAGTGTGGGTGGACGGAGCATATGTTTTGCTTTTTTTGGGGGGGTATATTAGTGTGTATTAACACGGTGTGTGGGTGTGCATACATATGCTGATTAGCTGGGTTGTGTGTGTGTTTTAGTTTAGGTGAAACCGAGATAGATTCTCTTCTGTTGCTTTGGCTTCTTTCGAGAAAGGAAAAAGTCTCAGCTCAGCAACTGATTATGGATTTTTCTTTTCTTTTGCGGCATCCCTGCAGCCTTCTTTCTTTTTGATCTTCTTATACTACCCCCTTTTTCTGATCTATTGCGTCGACCTTTGCTTTCGGTTCCGGATTAGCCCTTTCGTCTGACTCTTTTCCTTATACCAAAAAAAATATCATAAAACTATGAAAAATACTGGGAAACATTAATTTTATTATTTTATGATATGTTATTCTTAATGTTCCCCGGTATTTTTCATAGTTTTATGATATATTTTTTTTGTATATTAATGGATTTTTTTATTAATGTGTGTGTTTTTTAGTGTTTTAGTGTCTGTGTGCATTTGCATTCGTGTAATAACGTGTGTTTATTTTATATTAGTGTCTGTGTTTTTGGTGGATTAGCTTGTGTTAACACTACTTGTGATGGAATGTCTACATTTTTGTGTGATTTTAGATGGTGTATTAGTGTGTTTGTGTTTGTGTAATAGTGTGTTTTGGTATGTTGGTGTCTATGTTTTTTGATGTGTTATGTGTATATTTTGGTGTATAAGTGTTTGTTAACACAACGTGCGTGGGTGTGTATTTATTAGTTTGTTTATGTGTGTTTGTTTTAGTGGTGGTGTGCGCATATGCGTGTATTTGTGTAATAGTGTATGTACGTGTGTGTGCGTCTTTGGTGTGTTAGTGTGTATTTTTTTGGTGTATTAGTGTGTGTATATTTTTTGATTTAAGAGGACGGTGTGTTTTCATTAGTGTAAGTGTATTCTTTTAATCAATGTGTTATTGTGTGCGTTTTTATGTGCACAATGTGTATTTATTTTTATCAGTTATTTTTGGTGTATAGGTTTTTATGTTTATTGGGTGTGGTCGTTGGCGCGTATGATTTTATGATAGTATGTCTGTATCTTTCTTATCTGGAGTGTTTTTGTGTTTTGATGTGTATAACGTGTTTGTGTGTGTGGTTATTACTCTATTTTTTTTATGTTATCGAAGTGTTTGTGTATGTGCCTCCTTATGTGTCTGTGTTTTTATTTTTATTATGTGTATCTTTGTTATTATGTGACTATTTTAAAGTTTTTGACTCTTTGGGAGGCTTACAAAGCAATAATCTACCAGTTATGAAGTTATCTTTAGGCAAGTTTTTTGCTGGTGAACATGATGTTGCTTAATTTAAGATAGGATTGTGTAAGTTTTTTCATTCTCTTTTTTTACACTTGTCAAACTATAATTTGGATAGGAATGGCTGATATGAATTTTTGTTAATGATAATGCAAGTTCTAATGAGCTTTGGAAGGGGAGGACGATTGCATACATTCATAGGGAATACAAGTTTGTTTTCTTGCATGTCTACGTGACTTTCTTTTGCATATATTTTAGTGCATACGATAGTTTCTATTTAAAATGTAATGATTTTTATTTTTCCTTAGTAATTGTTTGTGGGGGGCGATAGAAATATGATTTGGTCTTTACCGTAATTGGTCTATTGTTCATCATTTAAGGTATGTGACTCCAATGTTGTCAATTCATTCCTTACAATTTTTTGTTCTTTAAAATTGTTATGCCATTTTACTATTGTGTAACGAGTTTAGATATTCCCTATTTATTGCAGTACATTAAGGCAATGGAAGAGATGCCAACTTGTTGAACTTTGGGAGACACTTACAAGGCAACAATCTAAGCAATTATGAAGTTCCTCTTAGGCGAGTTTTCTATGGGTGAACATTATTTTTGCTTTTGATTTGAGGTATGATTGTGTAAACTTCTTTCTTACTTCTCTTCTCTTTTTTTGTCAGTGACAATGCAAGTTTTAGTGATACAATTTTAAAGCTTTGGAAATAGAGGACATGTGTGCATACCTTCGTAGGGCGTACGGGTTCGTTTTCTTTCTTGTTTACGTGACTATTTCCTTTACATGTATTTTATTGCATAAGATAGTTTCTATTTAAAATACTTACGATTTATATTCTTCCTTACTAATTGTTTGTGGGGAGGAGAGGAAGGGAGGAGATAGAAATATGGTTTGGTCTTTGCTATAATTGGTCGACTTGTCATAATTTAAGGTTTGTGGCTCCTCTATAGCCAATTACTTCCTTACAGCTTTTTGTTTCTTAAAATTTTCATACCGTTTAACTACTGTGTCACGATGTTAGATATACTCTGTTGATTGCAGTACATTAAAACACTTGAGAAGACACTAACTTGTTGAACTTTGGGAGTCTTACAAGGCGGCAATCTAAGCAGTGATGAAGTTACCTTTACGTGAGCTTTTTACTGGTGAATATTATTTTGTTTGATTTGAGGTATGATTGTGTTAGGTTTTTTCTTCTCTTTTTTGTCTTTAACCTTTAAATTCTTGAGTATCTTTCCTATGATCTCAACGATCAACTTATGTTCTTTGGTTTGGATTTCTCATAGTTATCAAACTATGTTTTGGATAGAAATGACCGATGTGAATTGTTGTCATTGGTAGTGCAAGCTCTAATGATGCAACTTTATGGAAAGAGAGGACATGTGTGCATACCTTCGGTGGACATACAGGCTTGTTTTCTTTTCTGTCTACGTGACCATTTCTTTAGCATATACTTTAATGCATATGATAGTTTCTATTTATAATGCTTTTGATATATATTTTTCCTTAGTGATTGTTTGTTTGTAGTTTTGGGTTTTTTTTTTTGGGGGGGGGGGATTCGTAAAAATAAGGTTTGGTCTTTTATATAACCTATATATCATTATTTAAGGTTTATTATGACTCCTCTGTTGCCAATCACTTCCTTACAATTTTTTATTCGTTAAAATTTTAATGCCTTTTAACTGTTGTGTCACAAGGTTAGATATTTTATATTGATTACAATACATTAAGAAGGGGGAGGCTTTCAAGGCAGTAATCTTCCAGTTATGAAGTTATCTAGTATGTGTATATATGTGCTTGTTGAATAAGTGAGTGGACATGTCACTCGTTCTTTTTTTTTCTTATTGCTCTTTGTTGTTTCGAAGGTTTTTTTAATTTTTTTTGTACATAATTAATTTAATGTGTCTTTCTTTCAGTTGTTTGTAAAATGGATGCTAGCTTATGAAGGAATAAGGGGTTAAACTGGATTGAGATGCATTTGCAAAGCAAATTTAGGAGTGAAAAGATAAGTATATGAGTTTCTCCCGCTTCAATGGCTTTTATTTTTTTTGCAAATTG